AATTTTCATACGCTCTCAGGTGATTAGGATATGTCATTGATCCCAGTGACGAAGCAAGCATTTTATAAATGTAAATCTAAAATGATCAAAATTTTAGTTTGCAAGAGCGAAATGATAACTTTAATCTTCAAAATTTTCATCAAAGACCGATTAAAACTTTAGTGTAATCTAACTTTTCTATATTTTCACTTTTAAATTATTATATTTCCTTCATTTTTCTCTACAAGTTAAGAATCATGGATCCGCCACTTGTGAAAATACCAAATTCTGCCCAAACACCTAATAAAGTTTCCTTGAAAATAATAGAAGTGGTATTGATGAAAACCCGTGAATTGAAGGAATGGAGTAGCAAGATACTTCATCTCGTGGGACCAAAAATCAAAATGAAAAAAAAAAAAAACATTAGAGTGATGCCATTTCCAAGCAATTCTCTTTCACAGTTTTCTACTCACTTCTTTTCTTTTTCGTTTCTCTTTTTGGTGGTGGCTTCTTCCTTCCTTTTGTCACCTCTCCATTGTGTTTAAAAAGCAAATATCCTTCTTGGTTTTGGAGAAGATTACCAAAACTCCCAACTCATTATCGCTTTTCTTATGGAAAAAGGTTCTCTTATTATTGAGCCAAAATATTCTAGTCTTGTGCCTCCATTATTAGTTATGAGATAAAAGTTACTAATAATTATCCTTATTTTTTCCCTTTTGCTTCATCAATATTCTTTCTCAAAAAATATTAAACCCGAAATTTTAAACCATAAATGTAGTGATCAACTGTGTAGATGATTTTAGAGTATCACTCTAAGACAGAAGGAGTGCAAGAATATAATAATAACTACTTCTTATTAAATACGAATTTTAACACAGACGATAAACTGCAAAATCTAAATTTTGATATGGAATCAATGTTACTCCAAGTTATTTTTAAAAAATTAAAAAAATGGGTTTGTTTCATAATTTATCTTTATTTTTTTGTCGGATTATATCATTTTTGTGGCATTTCTTGATAATTAAGTAAGTAATGATAATGATCAAAAAAAATAAAAAATTTAATCCCTTTTACCCTATTAAAGCAGAAGACATGAAGCTTATGTGGCAACTACGTATGCGTCTGTTTTGGCTCCAATGCATCATATTTCAGATTTCAGGAATCTTTTTGCCACGTGTAAGTCTCTTTTAATTAGAAGTTATATAATTTTTTTTAAAAAAAAAACACATGTTTTACTACAAATAAGGATTAGTTACATTTCAAACGAATGGATATATTAATTCAAATTCAAATATCCAATCGTATAGTTTTGCAGGCTTAATATAAACAAAAAATAAAAATACCTAAATCCAGTAATTAAGAATAATGTCTTATAAATTAATTATTTATCATTCCATTATAACCTCAGATTTATAGGTATATTTTTTAAGCCCCAAACCATAGCATAAATGATATATACGCCAAATTAATTCCTAAAAAAATAGTAATTCAATTAGATTTTAATAAAATAGTAATTTAGAACGGGCGCCCGGGCATCTGCCTGGGCCAAACATCTAGTTAGTGTTAGAAAACAAATTTCAGCAATCACTGTTGCCATCGAAAATCGATTAAGATATGAACAAACATCAAACAACGATGGGTACCATCTCCGCAAAGATAAAGCTGAATAACTTATGCAAATGCTTTTAAAGTTCAAACTTACATGTATAAAACTAAGGTGATAACTGATAACTCCTCCATCATCAACATATTTTCCGTATTAAATTACTCCAATATTTTAATTTTCAACCAAGCAATCCCCTGAACCAAAGAAAGGAACCTTTTTTTATATATTACAAGCTTAGCCTAGCTAATTGAGACATTTGACATGGATTTTAAATATGTATTATGAAACAAACAAAAAAAAAATTAAGTAATTTAATGAAGTCAATTGAAAATGCTTGACCAATTCATTGGAGCCGTGGAAGTTAATTGTGTTTGAACCCCATACTTTATTCATTCCTTCCTATTTCCTTCCTATTTATTTGTAGTGGTTCCTTTCATCCCTCATTGAATGGACAATTTGAATGCGCCATGTTGCACACGAAAGGCACCTGGAAAATGGGCATTTTTCTAAGGTTTACTCATAACCTAATCGATATTCAGAAAAATAAATTTGATATTGGTTTCGTGGTTGAAGTTTAATATTAAAGTACTCATATATCGTAAGTTGTAACTTACTAAGCGTAAAATTTTGCAAAATCAAACCCTTTAAAATCCATCCATCCAGTATATATAATAGTCTTATTTGTGAAACTATTTTGGTCATAATTTTTTTTTTTTTTTTGGTACAAAGAATGACGACGTTTGAGCTAATTATATGATTGAACTAACACATTAAAAACGGTAGTATTATTGTACGAATAAGGTTGGAGCCTGGTATTAAGGTTTCGAATTGACTTTTTTGAGATTGAGAAATCGAATTTTATACTATAGGAAATCAAAACTTGAGTTCACAGAAATGTAAGAATAACTTTCAAGAGAAATGTGAAATGTAGACATCATGCATGATGGAAACAAAATACAACATAATCATAACTTAGGGTTCATAATTAATTTTTATTAATTCAGCAAAGTCATCCTTAAGTCCTAATTCAGCCTAACTAAATTTTCTTAAAAATAATGTTTGCCAATAAAAAAAAAGGAAGTTAAATGTGGAAATTATTAGTTTCAACTATATTTTGTTAAAAAAAATGTAAAAAAAAAAAAATCGCATTAAATATTGGGGGAAAAAAATTCGAACGTACACAACAAACTGATTCGCGCTATCTAACTATCACCAAAAGAAAGTATGAAATCTCTCCATTAGAACCATGAAAGATGGAGGCAAAAAAAGCTCGAGGGGGGAAGATTATAGTACATCCAATAATGCTTGCCATATATCCATCCATTATGAGAGCAATGAACGTAACAAATGGTTTTAATTTGGTCAATATTCTCAAAAAAAAAAAAAGCAAAATAGAAGTTCCACCAAACGATTCACTAATAATTGTGGAATTTGTAGCCCCAAAAAAAAATTCTCGGTTTTTGATTCCCTTACAAATCTCTTCTTATTCCCCTCCTCTTATTGAGTTTTTCGTTTATGCCTTATGACCACTCACTCCACAAATGTAGTGATGGACCTCTATATATATATATATATATATATATATATATATTTGATTCGTTTCCATCTGAACCGGCTTCATAGTTTTGAACTTTTCTTTTGGTTAATTACTTCTCACATTAAAACTGTTCCTATAGACTAGAACCGAATTCTTTTTTAAGTGACACACATTTTACTTCTAATCGTAAGACGAACTAGCATTTTGTAATTTGTGGTTACTGCTAGTAATGCTACATATATTTCCTTCGTATCGTTTTAGTTTTATCCTATATTCTGGATGAGCAGTGAAATAGTGGGAAATTACCAAAAATTCTTTTTTAAAAAAAAAATTGGGAAAAATTGTTCAAAAAATGGATAAGTGATTCAAGAAGCACTAAATCTTATTTTCTGGAATCGTGATTTATTTGGGACCAGGAAAATTATCATTTAAATTTATATTTATATTTATAGGGTTAGCATAAAAGTGGGAGAAACTATTGAGTAACAACAATTTTGGTGGTTCCTCCAATATCGATCCATATGGCTTTATAGTCTATCATCCTCCTCCCTATGACCTCATTATTTGGTTTATTATAGAGAATGGGCATCTAAAAAATTAGCCACCCAAAAGAAAAAAGAAAAAAAAAGAAAAAAAGAAAGAGAGGCACTTTTGATATCAAGCACGTAAAATGAAAAAAAAAAACAAAAGAAGAAACTGAAAATACACGCGATACACACCGTACAAGTACCCTCAAAAGGCAGAATTATGTGGTACGGATGCGTAACTATTGTGTGTTTTTTTTTTTCTTCTTCTTTTTCTTTAGTTAAACTGAATTTGACCGTATCATAATATAGACTTTTCCATGGATGAATATTTTTTCAAACGTATTAATAGTAAAAAAATATATATATATTTTTACTCTATTTTTTTATTTATTATTTTTTACATAATCGCAGGTTGTATACAATAAATAAATAACATAACAGTGAGTAGTTCTTTTTGAAATGTGCATTTTCTTAAAACCATTCTTTTTTTTTTCGAAACGTACTTAAAACCATTCATTCAATCATCAGTTTTGCATTTCATTTCTAACCGTAAATATTGGGAAGACCAAATACTGGACTGTGTGTGTATGTGTATATATATAACGGGTGGCGAAGACTTCAGATTCATTCCTAACCTGCCAGATTTAAACTAGCAACTTCACCTAGAAAAGGAAAAAAAAAAAAAAAAGGTTTGATTTGACTCAGGATTTGATTTTGAAAGATCCGATTTACCACCACATTGATTTGATTTGGTCATTAAAAAAAAAAAAAGGTTTAAAAATGAAAAAGTAGGGGGTTATTCCATTCAAATTCACCGCACAGTAAAAAAAAATACTTGGATTAAAAAAGAAGAAAAGGAAAACGAATTCCAAGGGCCCAAACAACGCCTACATCACCCATGACTCAACCCCCCCTCACTTCCCTCGTTTTTCCTCTTTGGAAATAGTGCTTAAAAATGCAAACAAAATGTAGGCCAAAAAAAAAAAGGACCCTTTTGGTTGTTTGGCTTTTGACTATGTTAAAACTTAAAAAGTCCATTAAAATTGATGTTATTCCTCCTCCTAAATTCAGTTGTGATCATCATATAAGCTATCATCATCGGCTGTGGTTTGATTCAATAACAACTCGTTTATTTCAGTCGCTGCTAGACAATTTCTGATACAACGGATACGTAATTAGCGATATTTATTTGGTCTTCAAAAGAAAAGAAGACGGAGAAGTTTATAGATTAGGTGATTAAGAAAGATTTATTAATAAACAAATGAAAACACCATGCCTTTCACACACACACACACACCAGAAGTTGATAAGAAACACGAGACTCGTCTTTCCCCAAAACAAAAGGCCAAAACCCCAACGCCACGCTAAAAAAAAAAGAACTTCTCATACACATTTCTTTTTCCTCCATGTATCTCTATCCTTTCCTCCCTCATTTATCTCTTTATTTTTTTCAGTTTTTTTTTTTCTCTTTGGACTCATTCCTTTGCAATCGGCATCTCAAATCATCGTCATGTATTCATAGAAATCTGTTTTGTAAGTTTTAACCATTGGCAAAAACAAGAGGCCACCCCAAACATTTGGTGGTGCGTTTTCTTGGCGAATTGAATGGAAGTGTAGTTGTTGTTGACGAAAACCCAGCATTTCTATTTTACTATTCTTTTTATATATATAATTTAAAAAAAGAAAAGAAAAATCTAATATAGGGAGAGAGAATTCTGTAAATTGTCATAATTTGCATTTGGTATTTTGCTGCAAATCTGCAGTTTTTGTTTGGCTCCTCTCTTTCTTTCTTTTCTCTCTCTGTGTCTCTGACCAGTGACCACCATTATTTTTTTTTCTTCTTGGTAATGGTGGCCAACAAAGACTAGGACTAAAAATTAACTAGTAACAATAATAATAATATTAGTTAGTACTACTACTATTACTACTACTACTCCATCCATCATCCTACTCATTTGCTTTACGTTTCTCCCTTTAAACTCTCTCCCTCCAACAAAACAACACCAAATCAAATCTCACCAAGTTTCCTTCATATAAATACACACATTTCACAGACATCAGTTCTTCCTTTCTTCTTCCTTCTTTGTTTTTGTTTTTGGATTTTTTTTTCCCCTCATATATCTCGAGGAGGAAAGGAAAGACTTATATCAAATGAATCTTTTCTCTCTTTCTTCATTGAATAGTCCGCCGTGAGTTTGGGGACGGCCATCTTCTTCTTCTCCTCCTCCCTCCTTCCTCTTTCATGCTGTTTTTGTGTCAGCGATTATTAGCCCTTTTCTCCTCTCTTCCTCCTTCCTAATTCTTTTCTTTGCTTCTTCTTCTATATATTAAAACAACCCTTTTTAACTCTCCTTGCGAGCTTCTCTCAATCATCCTAATATATTCATTCATTTCTTTCATTCTTGTGTATTTGTTTTGTTGATGTATATTTGACCCCCTAAATCACAACTCCCACCTTTTGATTACTGTTATTTGGATTCACATATATATAATATAAGAAAAGATATGGCTGTCCAAGCTCAATATCCCTCCAATGTTCTTCTCTTAAACAGGTTTGTTTTTTTTTTGTGGTTTTCTTTTTCCCTGCATTCACCCCTTGAATCCTGGCAATCCCTCTTCCTCCCATCCCTACCCTTTTCCATCAAAGTTGAATAATTAAAAAAATCAGTGGTAATGCTGCTTCTCCCGTGCAGAGCTGTTCAGGAAGGAAAGAATCAACTTTCTAATGATTATACATTACAACCTCAACACGGTGTTGGTGGTGGTGGCGCCGGTGGAGCCGGAGCTGGGATGTCGTTTTTTGATCAATCAAACATGTCATACAATCATGGAGGTAAAACTTCACATCCACCCATCAGGACTTTTTGGTTGCCTGATTCAATCAAATACATTCTACAATTAGGCCATTTCCCCTGTTTCCAGTTTTAACTGAACTGGCCTTTTTTTAATTTGATCTCCGTCAGCAGTTGGTGGGACTATGAATTCAAACTCGTCTCGGAAGAGAGGGAGAGAAATGCCAGTAACCACCGAAGGCGGCGGCGGAGGTGGAGGAGCTTCCATCATGAATAGACCATTAATGTCAATGGCGCCACAACAGACTCAACTGCTGGACCTCACTCAACTTCAAAACAACACCACCACCCCACAAAGGAATGCTGTCTCTATTGGCCTCGGCCTAACTTTCGGAGAAAACCTCCACCAACAACAACAACAGCAATCTTTACATCATCAACCGCAACATTCTTTTTCTCTTTCCCCTCAATCCTCTGCTCAATCATCCGTCTTATTGTCAATTCTGTCCGATGATTTAGCATCCCATATCAAGCAACAGCGCGATGAAGTCGAACATTTCCTCCTAGCCCAGGTAAATTCATTGATTCGTTCATTATCTTTTGATTCCTTCTTCCTTGGTGAAATACAATTTGTAAATTGAAAAGGGGAAAAACACTGATTTTCTTATTTTTGTCTAGGGAGAGCAACTCCGTCGGACATTAGCGGAGAAGAGACAAAGGCATTACCGGTCACTATTAAGCGCGGCGGAGGAATCGGTGGCTCGGAGGCTAAGAGAAAAGGAAGCAGAGGTGGAGAAAGCTTCAAGGAGGAACGCAGAGTTAGAAGCCAAAGCGGCTCAATTAAGTATTGAATCTCAGGCGTGGCAACACAGGGCAAAGATGCAAGAGCATATGGCGGCGAATTTACAGGCCCAGCTTGAACGAGCTATTATTTCAACCGGCGGTGCCGGAGCCGCCGGAACGGGATACAATAACAACAATAATAATAATAATAATGTGGCGTCTCAGGTGCAGGAGAGGGATGAATGGGGCGGGAATGATAGTGGGGCGGTGGGCGGCGGAGAAGCGGAGGATGCGGAATCGGCGTACATTGACCCGGACAGGGTGGTGGAGAAGCCGGGACCGCCGTGCAAGGCGTGCCGGAGGAGGGTGGCATCGGTGGTGCTGCTGCCGTGTCGGCACCTGTCTCTTTGTACAGAATGCGACGCCGTAGCTCAAGCTTGTCCACTTTGCCTCGGTTTGAGAAGCTCAAGTCTTGAGATCTTTCTTTCCTAGAAGCTTTGCTCTCTCAGTCAGTCCAAGCCCAAACCGAAATGCACATTGTAGGCCCAGTTATTGGCCCATGTGATTTTTTTTGGGGATGGCCCAGCTAATTTAGGAAAAAAAGGTTTGACGAAGGAGAGAAGAATAAAATGGAAAAACAAAAAATTAGATGGTAGAAAAACAAATAAAGATATTGGGTAAAATAATTATTAAGTAAATATTAAGCTCATGATTTTATTTTTTTTTTATTTTTTGACTTCTTTTTCCTACTTTGTACCCGCCACCCCCCAATGAGACTAAAAAACTTTATTTGTTTTTTTTTTTTTGTTTTTTTGGGGGTTTTTCCAAATGTCTTAATGGGTGGAAAATGCCTCGTAGAGGTAATGTAAATGGCCACCTCACATGGGAACCCCCCTTCCTTTTACAATCAAATTCAATTTATACATTCGTTGATTCTTTGTTAATTTTTGTATCATAATTTACCATCTTGGCTATAAACATAGGATCATATCAGTTATTGTTAGCAAGGCGCGATCACAATTATCCTCAAGTTGAAGTCTTCGTTAAATTAATGTTGTGAAATTGATTTTTTTTTTTTTTGTGTGGAAGAGATGAGCATTACATTTTTTATTTTTTTTTTCCATCACCCTATTGGAGCATATCCTTTGTTCAGAAAAAGAAAAATCATACTATATACTAAAACAGAACCCCTTGAAAAAGTCCATTGTACCATTTTCCCGCCCATTTTACCCACTCCAACAAATGTATCATTTTCTGGTAATTTAGAATTAATTTTATTTTTCTATTTTACCTCCTATAGTTTGAATGGCTGATGTGCCAATATTTTTTCTTTTTCCTTAATTTTTGTAAATCCCTTTCCCCTAGTTTAATACCACATGCAACATTGTTCTTTGTGTAATGCATTGATTTTCATACTTTGTAATAAATAAATGCACAATTAGATAATTTTTTTCACAACATACATGTTCATTTTTGGCTTTTGCATTTTCTCTTTCAGTCTTAACTCCTTTCCCGCATTTCCTTCTCCTTCTTCTCTATCTTATAAAAATAAGTTCTAACAAATAATTATTGTTATCTAATAATAGTAAATAACAAATAATGGTTGTATTTGTATACACTCATAAACATTGTTCATTAAGTAAATACTATTTATTTTCGTATTTTATTTTATTTTAAATTTACTTTTATCAATAACACCAATGATACACATGAAAAATTAATAAGGAGTCCGTAAGTACATGGAATTTATCTAGTATCTTACAAAGCACATATGAATTTTTGTTTCCTTCACTGGGCCAATATTCTCTTCCTTCCAAGCTGGCCATATGCTCCTTTAGTTGGCCATATACATATTTAGGCAAAGTTTTTCTTCTTAGTTATGCTATATTTCGTATAACACTCACTAGATTTTGACAAGATACCGCATTATTCTAATGCAAAAAAGTGATGGCTTACTTTGCCCATTTGGTAAATTTTAAGGTAAAAACATATTGAAGATGATTATAACGAGTAATAATTAGTGTATCTTTTTTTTTTTTTTTCCATTAATCATGTGAGTATTCGTCCTCCTTATCATTTCTACCTAACCAACCAATCTCCAAATAATGAAATATAGGTAAAGCATGGGTTGAGTGTTATTTGACAAAAAGAAAAGTGAGGTTGATCTGAGGCATGAATATCACAGCAGCTTTGCATTTTGCCTATTCTTCTCTCTTTTAACTTGTCAATGAAGTTGATCAAATTTTAGTGGTGTTTTAGCATGCTTGGTTGATTTGGTGTGCTTGAATTCCTTGACCATTTTGCGTTTACTTTCCCCCTTACATAGATTGGGGTCGAGTTTCAAATGAGGTGAGAGAAGTTAAAACGGTATTTTTAGTTCCTTTTTTGACATAATTGACAATATTTATAACCCATATTATTTTTTTTTTCTAGATTATCATGTAGAAAGGATTATTGCGCGCTAGGCATTTGGTATAAATTGACACATAATAGTATCTTAGGCATGTGTGTTTGCTTTATTGTATGATTGGTGGATTTGATACCTAAAAACATTATGCTCGATACTTGCATGCATGAATCTTGAGTAGAAATTCATTGTAATTGTAATTTTACTTAGATAAATTGATATAATCAAAGAAATAAAATAACTACCCTCACATTATATTTAATTAAATTGTACTCCCTCCGTCCCATAATTATTGTCCAGCTTGAATTTTCAATTTTAGTATAATTTAAACTAAAATTGAAATTTTAAATTGGACAATAATTTTGGGGCGGAGGGAGTACATCATTCGAAATTTTAATCTTATTATTTTGGCGTAAAACCTCTTTGGAATGTTAACCTTAAAGGAATAAGATGTAATACAGTTGAAATGTTTCAATGGTGTTTCAGTGTGTGTTTTGCATTAAAAATGTAATAAGTAAATTGTAGAATGGGAAAAATGCTTTTAGAGTTTGTTAATTTCCAGCCAAATGTATATAGAGTAATGAAATTTTTCTTAACAAATATAACTCTACTCATAACTCTACTTACATGTCTATCTAGTTGGCATTTCACATCACATTCTTAATTATTTTTTTTACTAAAAAGAAATAATTTTAAAATTTTTTTAATCCTTTTCTTTTTTTTTTTTCCTTCTGTTCTTTTCTTTTACCTTTCACCATCGTAAACAGAGAATTACTGTCATGACGATGTCTTCCTCGCAAAAAGTCCCAAAATTATGAGAATTATCATCAGATTTCTGATTCACCCAAAAAATCAAATTAATTGAAGCGATGCATAATAAACTTGTAGTTTTGTTGCCATTGTGGGGATCTCTTGGACATGGTTTCCTTAGTCTTGATTCTAAATATCAAATCCTGCCATTGTTGCGATTTTCCGTCAAATCTCCTGTCTCCTAGTGAGTAATCAACTAATCTACTGAGCAAAAATTATCGAGGAGGCACAATTTTGTGAGGTAGAAGAATTCTCTTTATAATTGGTGAAGGGAACCTGAATTTTTTTTTTTTTCAAGATTTAGGGTTCTGATACGCAATGGTGGAAGGGGGAAGAGGATGAAGCTTGAAAGTTTCGATTGAAATCGGATTCTATTTTTGCTAAAAAGAAAGAAAGAAAGTAGATTATATGTTTTAGTAAAAAAAATAAAAATTAAGAAGATGACGTGGAACGACAACTAGATAGACATGTAAGTAGAGTTATGGATAGAGTTATATTTGTAGAGAAAAATATCATTACTCATATATATATTCATACGACCTCCCTATGTAAACATTAATACTTGCTCTAGGCATGTTCATTCGGGTCAAAATAACGGATTTCGGATCAATGTATTCGGTTATTCGGGTCTTCAGGTAGAAAACGAGTTAACCCGAAATGAAACACAATCTCATTTTATAAACAACCCGAATAACGTATTCTGTCTATTTCTTTTGTTTATTATGCTAAAAAAAAATTGATATCATTTCGAGTCGGAAAGAACGTAGAATTAAAAATGACTAGTCAATCAACAAACGTTGATGATGTTATAAAAATATTGGGTAGCTTTATTAATTTGTATTTTTGTCAAACTAAGAAACAATGGAACGGAACTAACCATCCACTAATATAATTCGTAGAATCTGACCGACTGTGGAATGACGTCTAAGATAGCAACATACACATTCTAAATACAAGATTAATTAATACTGTATCAGCTGGAATAATATGCCTCCTGAACTAACTGAAGATGCTAACCAAATATTCGACACACGATTACAGGGACGGATGAACAACTTGTCAAGACTCCAATTATTTCCCCAAATAAATAAACAAATTCCTCTCACTTAAACCAGGAAATCTTCAAACAAGTAATTATTATAAATCAATTGTTTCGGAAATAACAAAGAAGCCAAAATGTACGCTACATTTTGGTTTAGAATTTAGTCTGTATTATTGCGATCACCCCTCCAAAGCTACGCTTCGGATCGCCCTTGTCGAACAAACAGATACAAAGTATTCCTTCCGTCTGAAATTATTGTTCAGTTTGAATTTTCATTTTTACTATAAATTAAACTGAAAATAAAAATTTAAATTGAACAGAGGGAATAATTTATTCATCACCTCCTTTCCATTTTTAAATGTAAGTCCCCCCTTACAAACCAGAAAAGATAACAAATTAACCACTACGCTATCATTCAATTTCCGTTTAAAGAGGGAGTATATATGTTCGTTGAATGACGGTAAAGTGTAAATCAAAGCGTCTTTCTTTGTTGGATCATGGCTCCCATTGTAAACCTGTAACCCATCTGGACGTACAGAAGATTTCAAATGGAGAGGAAAGAAAAAAATGGTCAAAAATGAGTACGTGTGTGGGGGTCTTAAAACCATGTGAAACCCCGTCAGTTTCCAGCTTGATGTCCATAACGTTATAACAACAGTTCATTTGCATAATTTGCCATGTTTGAATATAAATACCAACGTCTTCTTTCACGCTACTTGTCCATCTCCAATCGATCTGTCCTTTTGAAATTTCTTTTGAATTATGATCATCAATACATATTGGGCCAATGTTACACTCCAGAGATCCCCATCATAATGAATTTGCATCATGGTCTTACCATGATCATCATAAATAATCCCTGTTTAATTATGCCACTTTATTTTTTTTTCCCCCTCTCCGACCATTGATATGAGTGATGATAACATATAGACCAAACATTGCAACCTGGGGTGGGTTGATTGTCGTTCTTTTATTAATGAAGAAAATGTAACAAATTACCACCACTAGATGGGAGTGTTTTGTCCCTCGAGATGGCCTGCCTGCTCGATTGTGCCTAAATCAAGATTCATCAGAGTAATAATTTCATATGCCAGAGTGTATTATACAATTAAAAACATAAAAGATATTCTCTCGGTTCTAAAACTATAATCCAGTTTGATATTTTATTTTTAGTTCTATTTTAACTAAAAATAAAAATTTAAACTGGATCATAATTTCGGAACGGAGGGAGTAACAATTTTAATTTCCAACTCAATAAGCCAAAAACCTTCACCCGTGTGATACAGACTTGGACTCGCAATCAAACAAGTTTTAAGATGCATAATATGCATAGCGCGATCGATGCAAGCAAAAGCCAAAAGAATATGAATGAAATTCAGTTGAATTATTTTATGTTTTTTAATCTAGAAGATGAATACACCAGTTAGGATATTCTTTCTTGTTACATTTTCCCTTTGCCCAATATCTAGCTAGACACGACTTGTCCGATATCTGCTGAGATGAATCGGC